GGTGAATTACAACAATTCTGCAAAGGTAAATGGGCCAAAATTCCTGTACAGTGGTCCCTCCCTTGCTATAATGCGGTTCACCTTTCGCCGTCTCGCTGTTTCACTGATTTTTTTTAGGGTGGAATTTTACATGCTTTTTTTTTTCTTTCTTACAGCGCTTTGTGTTCTGCGTCTTGATTGGCTGTAGACCATTGTCAATCAATCTCATGCAGTGTCTTCTGTACAGTACAGAATGAGTTCAGCTTGTCAAATTTACATAAATCTTCGGTCGCTAGCAGTGTGACTCTGAAGTGCTGCATTGTATGTTTGTAAGTTTTCTCCCCAACAAACAACAATGTTGATGAAACGTTTTGTACCATCAAAGACAACCTGCAGGTGTCTTTGGTTTCATTCTATAATACTGGACTTATTTTTCTATGAAGGTTTGAACTTTGAGAGAGTTTAAACAAGAGAGAAAAATGTGAAAATGTTCCTGCCTGTCTGAGAAAAGTGTATAAAGTGTGTAGTGAGGGGTTCTACAGCCTTAAAACATCTAGAATAATTGAAGAAAATAAAGTTGGCTACTTCGCTTATTCCACCTATTGCGGGTTATTTTTGGAATGTAACTCCCGCGATAAACGAGGGACCACTGTACAGCACTGTAAAAGACTCTTTGCTAGTTATCGCAAACGCCTGATTGCGGTTGTTGCTGCTAAGGGTGGACCAACCAGTCATTAGGTTTAGAAGAAGTCAGTTTTTCACACAGGGCCATGTGGGTTTGTATTTTTTTCCCCCTTAATTATAAACACCTTCCTTTAAAAACTGCATTTTGTGTTTACTATCTGTAAGCAAGTAAGCCAAAAAGAATTTCCACTTGCATGTCAGGATTTATTGACGCACAACATTTAAGCAGTCTCTGTATGCAAGCAACTAAATATTCAGTCTTGAGTAAAAAAACAAAGAAGATCAGTTAATGCCTTTTAAAATACGCCTGCATTCATAGTTGGACTGTAAAATTCACCAGCATATGAAACCGGACGTTTTGTCCCAGATAGTCGTTATCTGTCATTGGATGATCGCAATTGAAGCCCTGAAACACTGGCTGTTGTCCCTTGTGGCTAAATCATGAGAGGATAGCCAATGGGTTTTGTGACTGTGTACTCTGACAAATGCATTACTTATCAATATACTCAGCTGCGTCCTCTTTGTCTTGGGCTGCAGCTGGCGACGGCAGTCAGCCATCTCATCACAAGCTGAAAGTGATGTGCTGATCGCAGTAACATCCTCCGGCACTGCAGTTAATCAGCAGAGCGGGTGGGCCAGGTCATAAAAATTAACATGATTAATAGCATCTGATTAGCAGCAGATGAGTTGTGAGTGAAATAATACAACATTAATGAGGGGGGGAATCTTGACGAAGTTACTATTCTATAACATAACAAACCTCCTATTGATAAATAACGTTAATGTGTGAGGGTCTGTAAATGAAATTTGTTTTGTGTAGGGTGGTGAGCTCGGTGTGGTAGGCAAATCAACCAATGTCCTTTGTAATAATTTGCAGTGACTCTCTCCTCTAAGTCAGCGGTCCCCAACCTTTTTTGCGCCATGGACCGGTTTATGCCCGACAATATTTTCACGGACCAGCCTTTAAGGTGTCACGGATAAATACAACAAAATAAAACTAGTACCGGTACCGAAAAAAGAAGATTTATTCATAACACACGTGAAAAGACCAAGGAAAACAGAGTTAACGATAAAAACGATAACAAAATAACGCTGAAAACCGATAAAAACCCTGAAAACCATACATTCACACCTGAGCCTCAACTCTCGCGGCCCGGTACCAAATGACTCACGGACCGGTACCGGTCCGAGGCCCGGGGGTTGGGGACCGCTGACCTAAGGCACCAAGAGGACCCAAACCATCAAGTAGACCCCACAGCATAAGAGAACCACTTTATCCCCCCACTTGCCCCCATGTATGTTTAAGGTCAGGTCAAGTTTCTCCTTTAGTTTTTCCACCTGTCTCACCTTTAAATAGTGGGGGGAAAAATTCCAGTCAGTACTGATAGTGTGGTGAGCTGCCTCCAATAAATCGATATAGGGGAAAAGACTAGATTGTGGATGGGCTCATTCACTGGGCCAGATTCTAAAATAAGAATAAAAAAAAAAGAAAAAATGCTAAAATAGGCCACTAAATATACTTGGTCAGGCCTGCCTGAGTAAAATCTCTATGAAAAAACTGGTGCTGTTAAATAACCTTTTCATGGTTAACAGGGCTGCGCTGAGGAAAAATCTTTCATGACCTTGTTTAAGCCCTGCAGTAAATCTAAATGTGACAGGCTAATTAATGAACGCCTATTTTCACCTGTAAAAAATGTTTAGTAGAACACTGGTGTTTATTCCTTCACATGTAAAAGCACAAACAGTAAGAAGCCTGGAGCTTCATTAAATGACCTTGGTAAATTGTGTGTGCAGTAAGTATGTGCTTGTCCTGCATATATCAAAATACGTACAGCTGAACAACTAACTTCAGGATTAGACAGATCAGACAGTAGCCAACTAAGTACTGCTTCTATAGGAAATGCTGATCAAATGAAGCTGATCAACTGATCGGCAAATGTGAGCCTTCTTTAAAAAAAAGTATTTATGTGGTTAACACAATGCCCCAATCTACCCAGGGGTGGATATCCCTTCAAATCTAGTGGACGGTTAGACTGTATAACGCTCAGAAAAACTGCAAAAACCCAAAAGCTACAACTCTGACTCTACAGGCCTCAGTTAACATGTTCAATTTTAAACTTCATGATGGTGCAGTTAGAAAAAATATTGAACAAGTATGACTTGTTTGCCAGGAGGAAGCCTCTTTTCTTTAAGAAGAGCATGGCAGCACAGCTTAGGTTTGCAGAGCTGCATCTGAAAAAACCCCACATTATTTCTGGAACAATGTCCTTTGGAAAAACAAAATGGAGACGTCCGACAAGAACGAACATCACCACATTTGGCAAAAACACAACCACCTTGGGCTTGTTTGCAGCCACAGGACCTGGGCACCCTGCAGACATTGGTATATAGAGGAGTTCCTCGTCAACTCAAAGTATTCCAGAGTCATCTGTCGGACAGCTATGGTTTGACTGAAATTAGGTCATACAGCAGATAATGATCCAAACAGTGGCTGAAAAAGAAAAGAATCAAGGTGTTGCAGTGATCCAGTCAAATTCCAGACTTTAATTGGGCTGAAGTGCTGCGGCGAGACCTTAAGAGAACTGTAAATGAATGCCCACAATGCATGTCAATGAACTTAAGGCAAAGCTGTAAGAAAAAAAAAAAACAGTAGACCAAAATTCTTCCACAACAATCTGAGAGATTTATCAAGTCATAAAGAAAATGATTCAAAATTATTGCTTCTAAAGGTGGTTTTGCAAGCCACTGAATCATTTTTTCCTCTCTCTTTTTTACATGACTGTATATAGGACACATAACCCATAATACTGAATGCACTGACTTATTTTTAGTACTTAAAAATTGGTTTCTATAACCCCCAGCCTGCATCGGTCAGGCTCTAAAAACAAGTGCTTTGAATGCAACTCACTGTGCTTTGTGGACAAACTGAGAAAATAATAAATTATTTAATTTGATAACTAAAATATTGCCAAGTTGCAGAACTAATAAAAGCAAAAGAGAAATTGCTGAAAACCAAATAAACATAACAGAATTATTGCTTTAAATGTGACCTTCTGACCTACCCAAGCCTTTTAATGTCATTATTCTCTACTGTTTTGCTTGAAACACAATCTTTTAAAGAGTTTATGAAGAATTTGAAATAAGAATTTAAAATAAGTCTCAATGAAAGATGGAAGGGGGGGAGGGGGAGACTTCAATCGTGATGTAAAAAAAATAAAATAAAATGTGGGAATTTGCACTTTCCATTTCAGCAGCTGCAGCCACAAGTTAAAAAAAAAACAAAAAACTAATTTGCTGCTGTGACACTGCTCTCACAGACCATCATTATTCATCAAGCTTACCTGACATTTTGCTACTGAACATTTCCTCCTTACATTTACCCGCCACCACAAGAGCTTTATTCTCAGATGGGTAAAGGACTCAAAACTGTGAATCCTCTACCTCCTGCTTCTGTCATTTCCAATAAGAACACTGATATGTCTGGATTTATAAGATTATGTTTTGGGGGAAAAACAAACAACATATTCTGTGTTCATAGCCGACACAATCTCCTTTCCCCCTTTTTTGTGCCTGTAGCTATTTGACAAAAGAAGAAAGATAATAAATATCTATTTTGTAATTTCAAGCAAGTACAAAGAGCCACTTCTTCAAGCAAGCGAGGAACAGAACTATATTGATGACCAAGTGGTTTCAACTAATAGCCTTTTAAAATGAGCTATTGATCTTTCCTGGCCATTATCTTAAAAGGAACCTTCAAAAGAAAACAGCTTTCAGGACAGACCAGAAGCATAGAGGAACATGGAGGGATACGGTCACTTAACAGACCCCCAGCTGCTTGTATCAATACAGACTAATACTGACAATGAGTGACGAAAAGAAACATTTTTAATGGATTCGACACAAATCCTATTTAACGGTGTTAGTGTTAAAGAAAGGCAAAAGATGTTTGGAACCGGATGGCAGAGAGTGAGAAGGTGCTCTGGAAATCTTTTTGAAATCTGGATCTTGCTAATCAAGTCTCAGCTCACTTTCTCACAGTTTAAACAGGTGATTTACAATGTGCCATTTTACGGCAATATGCTTAATTAAGCAAATCACACATTTCTCTAAGATTTTGGGTTTGTTTTTTTTAAAGAGTTTTTTGTCTGTTTTATTTTTTCTTATGAGATGAGCTTCTCATTTTGGCTGCACACATCAGACACTACTTATGCAAAGCCTTGGTTCAGTAGGATCTCAACAACAGAAAGAACATTAATATTCAGATGCATGAGCACTTCTATTAGGAATTGAAAACCTGAAACCTGCGTGCAATCGAAACCTAAACAAACAAGACTTACCTTCCACTCCACTGATACACTTGACCCGGTCACGGACCTCCACGTTGTATCCCTCAAACGACATGAAGACTCCGTTGGGGTGGTAGGGTTCTCGCTGGGCGTAAACCTTTGAATAGCTGTGCTGAAACTCAAAACGATCGTAGCCATCGTACTGCACTATTTTGCCGTACACCTCAAAGTACTTTTCCACCCAAGAGAAGGGCAGGTAGACTTCTCCCCCCTCTCGCCGGCCTTTGACAGTCGATTCATCATTGATTAAGCAGTCAATTTCTTCATACTTGATCCCCCCGACAACTCCGACAACAGGCGGGGGCTCGGGAGGTTGCGGGGGATGCTGCTGGCTGCTGATGCTAGCATCGCCGATCTGAGAACTCGTGGCCACCGGGGCAGCGCGGGGCAGGAAGCGTATGGAGGTGTCACTAGAGCAGCGGTTCCACAGCAACACAGTGATGAGTGTGAAGAGGGCGCAGATAACGATAAGGGTCTTGTAGTTCACCCGAGCAGCCAGGCAGCGCATGGTCACAACCTGCCTGTACGGCACAAACAAAAACAACTCATTAGAAGACTCTCATTAGAGTCAGAGTAGCCTGCAAATACATTTATGCTTAACTTCTGCTATTATACACCAGCAGCCTGCTCTTTATGCTCTAGGTTAAAAAGCAACCACCTTGCACACACCTAAAATCTGCCTTTATAATAAAGCAGGACTGCATCAGACATCTTTTCTCCACCAAAGTTATAAAAAAAGGTGTTTTCATCTGAGCAACTGGAGGAAGAAGGAAAGAAACTGTGAGTTTGTTTTTCTTTTTGCAAGCATTTGAAATTTATAGACGGTGAAAAGTTTACCACAAGGATCGCACTGCTGTGTGAGCTTTCTTTTCATCCCGTGGTGCCAAACAAACGGCCGCGACATCAGCTGTGTGCAGGAGAAATCTGTAATCCCATACCGCCATCACTGAAACCTTGTTCCTCGTTTACAATCGCTTTAATGGAGAGAGCTGACTAAAGTGGTTACTTAAGTGCATGTGAGTAACATAACTGCTCTGATCTTTTACAATGACTTCAATTTTACAAATGAGTAAAGTCAGCTGATTCACATTAATAGCACTTGCACTTAGTAGATAAATGGAATGAGGTCATTATTGTACTAAAAAAAGCCAGAACGTAACCAAGAGAAACTAGTAAAAGATACAATCTAGCACATAACACTAAAGCTTTATGGTGAGCATCAGTTTGTAAGTGCCTGGAGAGTGTAAAGTGCTACTGTTCTCCAGTGATTCTCTCACCAGATCATCAAACTCCAGATAAACCTGAGTGAAAGCTGCTTGGAACAATTTTCCCTAAATAGATGACATGTTGTAATTTGTGTCCAACACAGAGTTTTGCCCACTTTTGTCTGGTGAGGAGGCCGTGTTGCCGTGGATGAGTCACGAGCACCTGAAGACAGAGCTGGTACATTCATGTTGTAATTAAGACTGAACAATGTGAAGAAAAAATCATTTTGTGTAGTCTAACCGATTTTTATTTTTCCCTTCTCTTTTGCATCGAGTCAATTGTGGTCTTCACTGCAACTTAAACTCCTCTAATCAGCACACCTGCATACGAAGGGGTAGTACAATATGTTGATCTTTTCGTGCAGCAAGAACCAGCTTAAGTCCACATCACGTCTGAAAACTGGGAAGTAGCTCGCCTGGCTCAGATCACAGAATCCACCAAGCAGAACCTTTAAATCTAACTAATAATAATGTTATAGCTTTTTAACTCCCACAAAAGCTTACATATATGCTGGGCTACTTCTTGGCCAGCAGCAGTTGCCAAGCAACCAGCGTGGAATCCAGAAAGTTATAGCTCCTGCCCAAGAAACAGTTACTACAATTACTATTATCCTAAAAAAAATTATAACCAAACTAAAAATAAATCTTGTATTTTAAACTGCAAATTTCTTTAATTTCTAAATATAATTGAACTAGTGAAGAGCAGACGGTCACTGGTAGCGGGTTAGTGCCAGGTGGGAGCTTTTTTTTCTTTTTTTTTAAGTCCATCTCATAATGGATGATATACACCTTCTGTATTTTTCATATGAAAGAAACTATACTGTGGTGGGGCTTGCTAATTTCTTGTTCTTGATTTATGTATGTTTTGTTTTGTTTTACTTTTGTTTCATATGTTGTTTGTTTAATTTAAGACTAAAAAAAAAAATTAAATGAATGAGAGGTAAAACTTGAGGGGGTAGGGACAAATAAGTAAATACTTCTGCCTACTCCTTTTCAAACAAATAATGGAATGATATTTTGTAATGATTGTGAAGGCACATGTTTGAAATGTTTGAAATAAAAATGAACTGAACTGAACCTGAGCTGAACTAAACCAAAGTCCTTTAGTAAACACCTCCAGGGACTTATCGAGCTTCAAAGGTCACGGAGTAAAAAAAAAAAAGGATCTGTAGAATAAAAAGTCAAATCTGGTGAAGTCAAAACTTAAGCCAAAAAGTCGACCCCCCTTGAAGTAACACTTGTACAACAATATTTGCTGCAAAGTTCTCCCACAGATTTCACATCATCACTCTTTGACTGTCATACTTCTCCTTGAACGGTGTCTCTGCCTAAGCAGTGAGTGACCTTTAGGACTGGATAAAGAGCACAGATGTAACAGATGTGACTCTGAATTTATAATGAAACAAAATGAGGACAACGCTGCAAAAAACTCTTTTAAAAATCAAAGCCGCACCTTTATGATCACTTAACCTCAATACATCAGACATGCATTTCCCATCATGACAATGCTCAACTTCTCCTTGGATAAATACTAGAGGCAAAACAAACCATATCCTCCTGATGCTGGCTTACCATCAGTCGCTGCAGACAAAATTTAATTTAAGGTCATTTTGTTTAATTTTAAAGCATTGCATCCTGCTCAGGCCATATTGCAGGTCCCTTAGAGGCTCTCCTCAATTACCCTTTCAAAAGGTTTAAACCATCTCTCATGTCTTAAATTGACATTTTTGATTCCAGTCTTAAGAGATATTTTCCCCCCTAATTGAATCTACATAAAGGTTACTGTCACTATCATTTATATTCTGTATCAAATTATGTGCTCTGTGCATTTCCACCTTATGGATGTTAAATTTATTACAGTAAACTATCTGGGTGCACTTTGGTTGATATGCTGCTTTTCAGATTTTGAATTAAAAAGCAGCATGCAAATCAGACGTGTTGCTTTCTGCATCAGTCTTCTGTTTTCATGTCCTCTGTGTGTCTCTGACATTTTCGCCAAGCAAACAAGAAATCAATACACATCCTAAGGCCTCTCCTCTTCCTCCACACTAATTACAGCTTACTGCTGATAGAATTTACTATTACACTGATGACAGCGCCCCGTCCTCTGATGACAGAGGAGGGAGAGGGAGAAAATCATTATTCGCCAAGTTCATTTCACTATCTCAGCTTCAACTAGCCACAACTGAAGGTCAGCTCAATCAATGGGCATTAATTGGACAAAAGTAATCTTCTGTAGCGTTGCAAAGTCAAATAATCACAGTAGTGGCCTCTTAAGAAAGTTAAAGTGTTAGATTACTCGCAACGAAAAAATGCTTTGAAATACAAACACAGAAGGAACGCATGCTGTAGCAGATGAAGCTGCGGCTCCGTGCACGACAGGGGGGAGTATTTTCTCCATTACTGGATGGGAAAAGTTTTCAGCTGGATTTTATAAGAAAGAAAAGACTTTGGTGCATCTCTGCAGCTGGTTATTTACTGCCACACGTTAAAAACAATCACTGATATTTAGAGAAATGACAGCGTGGTGCAGTGATAAAAGATGAGGCTGATGGGAGCTTTGACAATGCTGAAAATGTGAGGTGGAAAGACTGGGGACTGCATCCTGAAAGATAAGTAGAAACAACCCTGTCAAGGATTCCAACTATAAATAAATGGCTCTTTTTATAGTGATTCGTTGCTAGCGTTGAGGCTTGGGCTAAAGGTGGATATACATGGGCTTTAAGCGTGGCAGCATGAGGAGTATCCTAAAACCTCTTGCTCACTTGGTTTACCTAAAGGCATGTCCCATTTCTCAAACGTAATTTACATCTTCACGCTAGAACAGTAGGCGCACTGGAAGAGAGGTTAATGTCACGGGTGAGCAAATTACAAGATGCGGTTTGTTTACGGATCACAAACCATGAATGTTCTGTCTGAGGAGATTTCGCACTCTGCCACGTCTTAGACCCAAATAAGCATTTGCAACGTTTCTCTAAGGTTGGGACTAGCTGTAGGAAGCCAAAATACCCCTAAAAACTGTAAATAACAGCAGAGATGGAGAAAACTGAGAGACTTAAAAACTGTTTATTCTTAGAAACTGGAAAGCATGCCCTCCTTAGAATCTAAAACTTAATTTCCATCAAATTCTGGGCAATAAATATAAACAGAAAAATGAGTAGACAATGTTGAAATTTTATCAGTGAAAGAGTGGTGTAGCACTTGCAACATCAAGCATGTTTAAATCAGAAAGTTAACCTTATGTAAGCCACGCCCATATGTTTTCTCTGTTGTCACCATGATTTTTCTTTTGTCATGATCACGGCAGAAATATAAAATGAGCGCATAATTTACAGACCAAATGTTTACCTTCTGCTTTGACATCTAGTTAATCTTTAAACAAAGAATCTGTTACTTTGTGTCAGAACACAGGACTGCTTTTTGTCCGAATCCCCGCTTAGTCAGAAGAAGCGTTATATTTATTTGAAAACACCGTCCAAATGAAAAATGTGAACTGTCTGTATTACAGTATGTAAACCAAGTTGACACAAAAAAATTAGTTTGATTTATTGTTCCCTCGACTCCGTTTCCAAAAATGAACTTCTTTGCAAATCATCTCTGCCGCTATGTTAATTACAAGGCAAAAACAACACTTCGTTATGCAGACACTAGCTGCATTGTCTCTGGTGTATTTTGACCCAAATTCACTTCTATCTATCAGCAATCTGTTTTCATCAGAAAAAACAAATAAACAAAAGACAGCAGTGTTGTTGTTTTTTTAATTATCATTGAAAAGACTTGTGTTTATGTCTTCCATATGAATTAATGTAAATGAATGGCTGCTATGACACAGCAGAACAGGCAGTAGTTGTATGGTATTGACGGGGGACAGCTGAGTAAATTCAGCACTATAAACTCCAGCGATTCTTTTTGATGGAGTTTATTTATTAAAGCATTACCTTAAAGATATAAAGGTAATGGTTAAGAAAGCCACATTTGTTACTTAGTTTATCATGCACAGGGCATGAAGGTGGAAGATCAGCAAAAGCCGTTCTGAGGACTTGTTTATACGATACACATCTGTGTAATCCACTGGTTATCAGATAAGCTCTGGAGGTTCTGCATAGATGCACTCCCTTTGGTGACAGTACCGCTGTGATCTGGAAGAAAACTACACCGTACACGACACTAAAACATATCTTTACAACAGGCAGATATAGCTGGACAGCAGGTGAAAGACAATCCTGTTGGAGGATAAAAGTCTTCCATGCCTGACAGATTAGGGAGAAAGGCACTGGAAAACAAAAGCAGCTTTTCAGCTTACAGGATCCCAGTGTTCTGGCTATGGAAAATGAGAAGCGACTGTAGGTACAGGTGAAGGCTTTTCTTCTATATTCTATAGTATAGCACGATGGCACTAGGAACTCACAACAGTAAATTGTTTTTGAAATTATGTTTTGTATATTTGCCCACATCAACTCTCATGTCAATCTGTATCCTTCATGCCAACAAGACCAAGAACAAAAATCTGTAGTTTTACGAAGTATTTTTCCCTTCACTCGACATGACTAGAAGAATGCTGGAATTACAAACACAGCACCCAATTAATGTACCGACAGCTCCCTGCAATACAAATGTGAGCAAACATGTGGTAGAGACTGAGCAGTGAATCTGCACAGATGCAACTCTCTGCACTTGAGTGCAAGAATATAATTAACTGAATCCTTTTCGTCTTCTTCTGACAGATGTGTCAAACACGCCAGCTTTTTTAGTGTCAGGCAGTGGCACTTTTATTTTTTAACTTGCAAAGATTGGAGTTTTCTGTTGGTGCCACAAAACCTCAAGAAACCTTACAGAAGTCTCTGATACAATCATGGGCTACTGGTGTTTTTTCACTCTTTCCTATTTTTTTCCAGAGTCAAAGACTGACAACCCACACGTTGACATACGGGTATAATTAATATTGTTCTGTTGTTATTGTTAATTACCAGAATATTATAAAAAGCCACTGTATATGCAACTACATGTAAAATGAAAAGCTGGTGGTAAATCACATCTGACTTTACACCCAACTGAAAACTCCTAAATGATACTGCTGACAGTCGTCACTGTAGTAGGCTGAGAAAACATCTGCTTCACAAATACACAGGTCTAGCAAATTCACAGTCACGAGTCCCTGGGGTCACAGGGCACTCGTATGTCTAACAACACACAGATTCTCTGCTGCTAATGCAGATCAGAGGCTTGAAAATCTACCTTTAAAATGCCCATAAAAATCACATCTCTTCAATTCAAACTAACTACAAATCTCGGTCCAGGTCTCCAGTGCAGAATGTACAACATTTATACCGAGTGAAAACTGTTGTGGCGTTGGGCTTACGGATGGGTGAATGGAGTTGTTTTTCTTCTCCAGCTCCAGGGGTAACAGTCACAAGCAGTCATCACAGCAATAAAAGCTTGAGTGCTCATGAGATATCCTTGGGGAGCTGTTGGAGCAGAAGCCCAGAATGCGTGAGGTGCAGGTTTTTGTAGCCTCAACTAAACTCCTGGCATTTCACTGCCTTCCTCCAGGGGTAAAGTAAGGCAGGGGTTTGAGACTGCCTGTAAATTATCAGCTTATGCTGAAGCTCTGAGGCATGTTAGCTCCTGCAGAGATGTGATGGAGTTTGTGTATGTGTGTGTGTATGTGTGTGTTTTTAAGCCTGATTATGATAGCGTAGGCAACAGAACAATTCAAGGCAACAACTGACAGGAAAAATAAACAACTTACATCTTTATCCATGAACCGCTGAGCATGCAGCAGAACTGCGTGTATCGCCCGTTATATGAGGCACAGTCTATACTGTGCATGCAAAATCAATTATACATTATAATATTCTGAGGATTAGCAAACATAAAACAATCTGTCATCAAGATATGTAAATACTTCCTCAGCAATGTAATCAATTGTATATTTAAGACAGGTTAAACTTATACAAGGTCAAAGCACTCATCATGCTACCACAAATGTAAAGGGGCATGACTGACTTAGTCAGATCAGACATTAAACAGCCTCTAACATGCCAACTCCCTAGTGCAAAGTCTTTGTTATGTCAGACTGCATCCACGTGAGAATACTCGGGTAGCTTCCATGGTGACCCCAGACGGCTGGTGAAATCCTCAAGCCTCAAGCTCAGACTCTTCTTTACATACAGTCTACAGCTTGATTTTAAGAGAGTATTTTTTTCGTTACCAAGAATGACAATATTTAAGGAAGTAGAAGTATAAAGTCACTTGAGTACAACACTTCATTTCACCTAAACCTATATCAATATCTCCAAAAAAGGTATGCCTATCACGGTCGCTTCAAATACTCAGTAATAGTAGATCGCAGCTATCGGTTCTAAACAGACACGAGAAACCTTGAAACCCTCATCACGCAAAATTATTCAGTTTTGTTTGGAGGCAGTGGAAAAGTGAGTGCACTGCTTTGAAGTTAATGCGCCTGTGTGTTTAATCTCTGCTTGGCGGATTAAGCAGGTCATTACTAAAAAGCTTATAACTGAGGTCTGCTGAGAGTTTTAGCCAACTCTTAATCAAATGGAGGGGAGACGAGAAAAATACAGGGTCATGCCTGGTGCTACAATACCATAGAAACAAAAGCAGGTTTACTAAACACAGAGAAGCAAAGGGATCTAAAATAAGGGAATGAAGTCTGACCTATGGTGTACAGTTGTAGCAGATTATTGGGGGTCAAGTAAATGTCAGCTGAATTTCAACTCAAAGTAAAAAATAAATCATCGCCTGAACATCGCCAGCATTTTTTTTTTTAAAGATCATTTATTTCTGTAATTTTATCCTGTTATTTAGTGGTCTTCTTCTTCGAGGAACAAATAACTTGACAGCAGTGATGGGGAAAAATGGTTTGTATGGCTTATATTAAGAAGAGATGCACGGATTGAAGTGTGATCTGCTGATCGCCAACTGTCATTTTCTTTTACCAGCACACAAAAACAAAAAATCTACTTCTGTTTTACTTTTTCTCTTCTGTTCTGTTACTGATTTATAACTACTACTTTTCTTCAATGCAACATTTTATTTTCATAACAATATTATTAATAATAACAAAACAATAAATTAAACTTTAAATATTCCCTAAAACTGCTGTAATTAACAGGATTGGCTCTAGTTGAAACAACTAAAAATAAAGCGCTCTATTCCTGGAAAAAGGCACAAATATCATAGAATAGGGTGGTATAAACGTATAGAGTAGAAATGATGTGAATTTGGCCAACGGTAGAGATTTTTACTATACCGCTGCTATCAAGCTGCGCCTGGTCGAAATCATCGCAGTGGCTGCAAGCATGGAGCTTACACGTGGGGAGGAGGAGGAGGAGGAGGAGGTGCCCATGAAGAAGAATGTCGGTCACATGCACCTGGGTTTGGGTTTAAGCAGTTTGATGTTAAGCAGAAAAATATCATCTGCAAATTATGCCGGGCGACAGTAATAGCGAAGAGACGAAGCACGTTCTGGATTATGAGAAAAGCCAAAAACTGCGCCCTCCTCAAACGCCCAGTCAGTCAAGTGGAAAGAAAAAAGGTGGCCCTACACACCAGCAAACTGATCTATTCCAAAGGCACATTTTATTTTAAACAACTTAGAATTTAGTGTTTTACTGATATTCTACATGTATTTTTTATTCAAAGATTTTTGCGCATTTATCTTCATTTTTATTTGTTATTTAAGAATTTTGTGTTACATTGTTTGGAAAAAGATCTATTACATCTTAAAAATTATTTGAAAAGTTTTGTAATTAAAAAACAAAGAAACAAACAAAAAAAACGTTTGCACAATAAATGTTCTTAAAATGGCATTTTATACTCTTCAGTCATTTTGACATATATCTATATACAGAAGAAAAGAATATATCGCAATATAGATCATTACAGCACATGCTTCAAATTATACCGCCCAGCCCTAAAATATCATATAACATATTTTACCTTACCAAGCAAATGCAGGTGCAAGAAATGTATGTAATTACACAAATGTGTGTTATCACATAACCTTCCAGCATGTTTATAACTATAACACCATAACAAGACACCGACCCTTTGCCTTTTTTTACTCATCTCCATTATTTCCCCTGTAACCACTTTGATTCCTTGCTCATACCGAGGCTGCTGGCTAGCTTTAGCGTTGCCCACTTTGCCTTTTTTAGCTGGGTCTAGCTGGGTGAGGGTGATTTAACTGTCTGGACAGATTTGTTGTTGTGAACTGTTTTGTGGTGTTCACATGCTGTTTACTTTGGCGAACTTTGTACCTTCACTCATAGCATACTTTCATGCTAATGACATGTTAGCATGTGGCTGTGAGAATATGTGCAACTATATTACAAGATATTCTTCATGTAAGTGTTTCATGTAGGTCTCTCAGTACTTCCCTAAATAACTGATTTAAATGGACACCGTGTACTGAATCAATTATTTAGCTTTAGCGTATTCTAAAGAGCAACACTTTTAAGATTTCACCAAAAATAAGGGCCAAAGAGAATAATTCAATCTCTAAAGAGAAACACTGCATAACTGGTTTAAAGTTCAAAAGCATACAAAAACATCTTACGCAGCACTACAATGTGATATAAGTTACAGCCTTAAACATCAGCCATGGATTGAAATGCTGTGCGATTATCTAGCACTTAAAGCAGGGCTGCATGGGGGTGTGTTTCAGTATCTCAAGGCCAGCACTTTATTCTCACACAGATGCACAATTACCTGTTACGCAAGCAAATGAACAGTTAGTTCCAAGAGCTCCGTCTTTCCCTATGCTATCAAAAATGTTTCAGAAGAGAAATGCAGCGCTTAAAGGGACTTGTAACAGATATGCCTAATAATTTCATCATACAAGCGAGACCAGGCCATTTTTCACAGTGGATATAAGAGCAGATTTAATTTGCCCGTGTAATGCAGTTAAGCACCAATCTGCATGTGGAAGAGGTTTTAGTGCACATCAAGTGTGTTGGTTAATTTCATTATTTATTTATTTATTTTTTAATATCGACGATGTTAAAACTTGTCACAGTCAAGGAGCGTGCATGAACCAAATATTTACACAAAATGTCATTTAAAGAACAATCTCTCCTCCGTCCGTGCTTCCTGGACCACAAATATAACTGTCTCACTCTAAATCTTGACAGTGATGTCTGTAAGGACAGTGATACTAACCTCTTCTATTCATTTAGAAAGAGATAAACAACTGGCTGAACATCCTGTCGCACTTCACCCAGCGTCCTGTCCCGGCTTGCTCTTCTGGTACTTTTTGTCTGCAGTATCTGTAACACCAACAAAGGAGACACAAAACATGAAAAGTCACTATTGTCTCTCAAAGGTGACCTCATATTTTTTATATTTTGCGTGCATGATGAGGACAATGTATGTGTAGGTGTGTAAAAGAGCAAAATACACCACAGAAAAAAAATCTTTTTTACATGTTAAATGCAAGCTGACCGATTTCATGGGATGTACTGCTTTTTTTAATATAACTGAATTGCTTTTATTTGAACTGAGCTCTTCACTCAATTCTAATCATTTGTCATTAATGTAGCCACAAAAAACCCCACAGCCTCATAAGCAGACCTTGTTACGCAAACATTTTTTTGAAATTCATTTCCCAAAATCTGTTATTGCTATTGAGGCTCACATGAAAGCAAAAAATGCACCAAGTGAAATGCACTAGGCAGCTGTTGGTTACAGGCCCACGTCAGACAGGTGAAAATACTCACATGTGAATGGGAAAGGTTCAGTTAGCATTAGCTGATAGTAGAGAAGAATGAATTCCTCCTGTGCACTGGTTTAAGCAGGCTCTACATCGCTCAAATGAAATCCTTTAACTGGCTAAAAGCTTCCTGGGGTAAATTATGACTGATTGCTCCTAAGCAGCTTTTCAATACCACCTTTTCACAGAGCAGCAAAATTAGCCAGTGTATCTTTTATTTTTTTTCCCCTCAATGTGGCAAATTATAACTTTAAATCAATGCTACGAACACAGATGCACAATAAATTACGATAAGAAAACCGATGCATATTTGTAATTGCAGCTATTGCAGGGTCACTAATATACGCCAATCTATCAGTCCAAATATGCAGTTACATGGATACTTCACTCTGCAATTAATCTTACTAGTTTATTTCTAGCTGCTGCAGTGGCAAGCTATTAAATTAAAGAAGGTACTAAATCGCTACGTCAAAGAGAATATATTGATCTTTTTTATGAAAAGTGCTTATTGACAGAGCAATTAAATTAGATATTGAAGAAATTAAACCAGCAGAGCTTCATTCTGTCAGTGCACGGCCAACTGCAATGTGACAGAAGCAGAACGACTGGCAAAACTGGCAAATCAACAATAATTACAATATTTTAAAATATAATGGTATCCAGTTACATAAGAGTAAAATTGTCCCAGTGATGTTGAGGTATCTACGTAGATCCTTCTAGATCACTCAATCAGGAACATTTTAAACAAAACTATCTGATGGCTACCACTCCCTCAAACTAGTAGCAAGTATATTTTTGCTTTTTCCCTCTTTAGCTTTCGTCGTCGAGTATGCTGATGACCTGTTGTGCCACAATTCTGTCTATTCATGCTACAGCTGGTCTATAACAAGTTGCCATAAAAGATGTATCCTGGCTAAGAAACAACAGAAAATACGTTAATGAAGTATTTCAATGACACTCTGGATTCTTTAAAGGAGGACAGGACATGCGTGTTTGTGGCCTTTTATCTGAAAGAAAGCATACTGCTACCGAGCCTGAGTGAAAAGGAGACAGAAATGTCAGCAGTCTTAATCAATATTCTCCAGCTACTTTATGAGGATACTGATGTTTTTAGAGGCAGGTGTGCTGCAGGCAGATGGTAAGAAATGAGAGTAAACATCAGCCTGGAGCAGCTCATTTTTCCCAGAGCTAATCCTGCAACAGCCATGCCAGCATTTCATTCTATACACCTCTCTCTGAACATCTGGATAAAGTGTTGCTTTGCTTGAATAAGCATCTTTGTAGCTGGCCTAGTGCACATGCACTGTAACCCACACGGACAACCGCACACACGCGCTTGTACTAAATGCTTCAAGATGACTGTGAAGGTGCCTTTATGTTTCTCCATCTCTTCTCCTCAACCCTTCTGTCCAAAGCGGATAACCAGTTTCTTAAAAAATAAAACATCAAACAAACCTACAAACAAACACATGTTTCAAGCATCAAATGGAACCAAAAGCACAGTGTAAACTTGAGCTCAGAGGTGCCTTTAGTGGTGTTTTGAGAGTCTATAAACTTTATCTGTCCTTCTCAGATGGTTTATGATTGTGGCAAAAAAGGCTTGGCTGGAGGAAAAAAAAAAAATCCACGTATATAAGATGAAATTAATTAAAACATAGTATGAAGGATACTGAGCTTCAAGGAAAATGATCTGTGGCACTGCATCAACAGTAAAGGTCATGTATTTAACAACTGAGTGAGGTGACTACTACACTGAGAGATTAAATACTCTAGATCTGTCTGATTGGGCTCGGGGGGTGATTGAATACTAACACTAGTGACCGATTTCCTAGGGGAAATCCTGTGTATGCACAGATCTTATACAACAGGCTTTGAAGGACTTGATGAATGAGTTTATACTGTGTAAGAGAACAGACTGAAGGAGGGACAGATATTTTTCAAGAAACACCAATATTTGAAATTCTAAGAAGTTAACTGCTCAATCAGTATGAGTTCTAAAAATATATATATATAATCTCTTAAGGATGTGTAATCAAGAGCAGAGGAAGCTGAGCAGCACTCCAACTCCTCTTTAAGGTGGTTTAGCCTGTCCCAGCTTTGCTCTGTGCTGACACCGTTTTCACAGCCTTTACATACTGACCCATTCAATCGACCTCTCCTAAGCAAGGGGCTGACACCTTGCATATGAATCACGGACATCAACTTTATGGCTGTCTCCTGTGAATACATTTTGAACATTAGCCTGAGGATATTTCTTTTATGATGGTTTGACTGAGAATGATATTGGGCCATTAATTACTCAAGTCGCTACTCATTTGCTGGCGCCACCACACATGCAGCCATCTATCATGACTTGTGAGGGTGAAAAAGAAAAAAAAGAAAGAGAGAGAGAGATGGAGACCCATCTGTTGGGCATTCATAAATACATTCATTTTCTTTGGGGAGTCAATGGCTGGCCAAACATTGAATGATCGCACCACGGATGCCACCATCATTGACCATCTGATGCCCAGAGCAATTTCCAAGAATTCTGCGTCTGCAAAGTGAAGCGCTCAATTAGCTGAGATTTCTGCTTGCAGAGCTGGAGAGCGAACTGATTAAACGCGATTGCTTATCATACAAATAATCTACTTCATTCTGCCCACATATACACACAAACACACACAAGTCTGAAGTATTCGGACGCACAGTTAAAAAAAATAAATAAATAAATAAAATCAATATGAGCTGGTGCCAAGGTCACTGGATAAAAATAGTCTGCATAGTATAATCTAAATGAATTGCTTGGGAGACGCATCTATATCCCAAAAATAAATAATAGTCTGAACCACTCTGCAATACTGCAGATGATTTAATCTCTGGTTGGACCGGAGTCAAAGGCTTCTCTTTTCAGGCAAATTTACACAATAACCTGTTATATACAAAACACTCCTTGAAAAGATAACTGAGAAAAATAGGACTGTGTACATCCTTATATGGTCTGCTATAACAGAAGAGAATGATTTTACTTGTAGCTGCTGTTACTTTTAAAAAATGAATAAATAAATGAATGAATAACTAAATCTGCATAGAGCAAACCTCAACAAAAAAAAAGACAAAAATCGTTACTTTTAGGGCTTTTCTATACAATCCTGGAGGCCCATGCTAGCCACCGTGTTAGCTGCATTCTCCCAAAGCACCAGTCCCATGCCAACCTCTCCCAACTCTCAAAACATTAGGGTAATTTTCATACTGGATTTAGCAAACAAAGAAGGTTTCAGAAGGCCTTCGTCACATGCTGAGAGATGCGTTGTGGTTGTCACAAGTGTTTAGGGATATAGATAGTAAAATGTGGTGTTATTTAGTGCTGCTTTGCATATATTTATGGGCTGTGTCACTCCCTTTTTTTGTGCTTGTAAAGAAATGCAGCTTTGTTGCACCAGCTTATTCCCAGATTGGGTGCAGCTGTTCTCCACTGTTTGCTCTCTCCCTTTTCTCATGCAGAAACAATTTTCCATTTGTGAATCCCCCCCCTAAAAAAAAAACTCCATACTTCTAGATTTCCCTTGGAGCGTCATGAGGTACTTACCCTTTAAATACACCTACACTCTGAGATGCTTTTTGCATTCAGTCGTGGGAATGTCAGTGTCAGAGTGACACAGTTAAAGGTTGAGGCAACAAGAACAGGCAGGCTCTGGAGAGGCAGGTGGAGTCACTGCGCAAGCCATACAAAACAGATACTTGGAAAACTCTGTGAGAGCCACTCCTGCTTTGCGTTCCAACTCTAAACTGAAGAAAACAGGATGAGAGGATAAGTCTCAGAGTGGGAGGCAGCAAAAACCAAGCTTGCAATAGGAAGCCAAGATGAAAGTAAATACAAGTTGGGAAGTTTTTAGAAGCACAGCAAATACCCTGGCTGCCTGTCAGGACTGTAGTGAACCCCGTTTTTCATGCTAGCAGGCAAACGCTGCTTATAGTCAGAGCGGACCATTAGTTGCCAGCGATATGTTACGGAATGAGAGAGTAAACATACACAAACAACGTTAAGCAGCAGTAATTAACACAGCTCAAGTCTTCATTATCTCAGTATCTAGCACAACTGAACTGTTATGGTGTCCACGAGAGGTCACTGCAGATAGTGCTGCTCACTTAGAATCGACAGATTCAATAAATGAGCAAGATTGCAGCTAACAACACCTGCCAGATGACAGATGCACCTACAATGCCACAGCGAACAGCCATAGTTAGCATGCAGGCTGTAGTTGTAGGATGGCAAAGCTCTTACTTACAGTCTTCAGGTCATTTTACAGACTCTTTGTAGATTTCTGATATGTGGTATAAAGACAAATCACATGAGAACATTCCCTTCTGGGCTCTGTGCATCTGACGAACAGCTCTGAACTTGTTCGCAGCACAGACACCTCGGTGTGAGCTCTGTAAAAGAGGAGGGCTGTGCCCCAGCTGCCTTTCACATGAAGACAAGACTTGCATCTTCAGAACCTTGTTAGTTCTCTGAAAAGGCCACCGACTAGTTTGGAATATTAAGCAGCTCGTGCTGTCGGAAATCAAAAGGATTTT